ATGATTTTCTTATAATCAATAACTCCTAATAAGTCTTTCACTGGGTTGTTGTTGTTGTTAATTGACAATATAGGTAACCCATTTAACCTTTATTGAGACATTATTGATCTTAGGTTAAGATTTACCAATTTTAATTTTGAAAATTTCTTTTCCTGAAACGATGGAAATAAGAGTTATTAACATTATTCCATAAGTAATATAGGCATCGGAAAAAGAATCAATTTTTTTTATTTGACCGAGTGTATTAATGAAACTGTTATCTTCTAATTGTACTATTTTTCTTAATATTTTTAATTCCGAAAATAAATCTAAACTATCAAAATCGAATTGATTATTATGATTTAATGAACATTCAACATTAAGGCAATATTTTTTCAAATTTTCATCATCTAGTGATCTTAATTTTTACCGCTAAATAGAAAACCAAAAATATTTACATATGCTTCAAATTGTTCAAATTTATTTTGAAGTGAAAAAAAAGCCTTGTCTACTATGTATAAAGTAATCAACTTCAAAAGACCCTTCGAAAGATTTTGAGTTTTTATTATCAACATTCTCATCAAATTGTTACTTCCTATATATCATACGTTTCTTACGAAATTTTGGGTTGGATATTCATTTCAAGTGCAATTTTCTTGGCAGAAATCATATCAGTTGCAAATCATTCTTCTCTATATTTGTTAAAGAAAAAAATCAAACTTTTTAACTTCATAGAACATTTTCTTTAAACTTATACATAGCATATTAGGTATAATAAAAAATGGGCTCCCCATTTCATATTAGGTATAATGAAAAATGGGCACCTAAAACAGTTGTTTTATGGAAGGGCGCCGCATAGGTGATAGGACTGCCAATTTGCGAGAGAGTCAAAATATAGTGGGCTTCAGTGTAATTTCTTAACTGTACAGGCGCGTTCTTACAATAATTAATAATTACGTACAATTTGTTTCCCGTCCTCTAATTTTTTTCAAGAATGCACTAGGAAGCTGGTCTCCCAATACGGAACAATCTAGAACCCTAATCTCCACCGGTCAATTCTCAAATCCAACGATTCAAGTTCCACCCCACGCACACGCAAATACCCTCTCACTGCCAAAAACGAAAATCATCATTGGAAATTAATAGGGAAGTAGCGACTAGAGAATTCTAGAGGCTTCTCCATATTCACAACATCCTACGGCTAGTTTCCCATTCCGACCATTATTAAGGTTTAATCTGAACCGTGCAAAAATTCTATATATACCCCTTTTGAAATATTCTTGGAGTAACTAATTGGTTTTTTTTGCTACAAAGAAGTAAAGGAAGATGTTTGGGAGAGGACCAAAGAAGAGCGATAATACGAGGTACTATGAAATATTGGGTGTGTCAAAGAATGCATCAGATGATGAAATCAAGAAAGCTTATAGAAAAGCTGCTATGAAGAATCACCCTGATAAGGGTGGTGACCCTGAAAAGGTATCCCTTTTTGTGAACCATCTTCATCTGTTATATTGTTGTTTCATCCATATTTTTGTGTTGATGGAGCTTTTTGTTGTTGTTATGCTGTTATGTTTGTGTAAAGCTAGGAATTAGGATGGGTAGAGTTGGAATTTTTGGTTGTGTGAGTGTTGTGAGCTGAGAGTCATTCTTAGAGTCGATGCATTCTTGATGGTGTAGAGAATTTCTTTTCGTTTTTCTGTGATATGGTTTCTGGGTTAGGTTGCACCTTCGCTGGTTCACTACCTTTACCTCCCACCATGGGTAACACTGTCGGTCAAGGCTATGGGAAGAAATTGAAATTTATTCTGGCATAAGTTGGAAGGATCATAATGGTTCTATACTTCTATTAATCAAAACAAGAACAAAGTTTAATGTCTTCGTTATTTTTGTTTGGGGGGTAGAATTGGTATGGGGTTGGCCTGGCTTAGTTGAAGCTCAAAAGGTGGGTTCTTGCTTGGTGGTATTTGTAGGGGTATCTCTGAAGCTCTTAAAAATCATTTTTAAGAACAAAATGATTTGCAAAACGTGAATTCATTCGACTGGGCACGTAGTTTAAGAAAAATAGAAACTTTTGAACTTGTGGCATAGAACAAGACATATATATTTGTGTGGTTATAAATTATGGTATAAAGGTAAATGTTTTCAAAGATGGTAAAGGGTTATTGTTTTTGGCACGGACTATAAAAAAAATAGGTTCACATAATTGAAATGGAGTGAGTATTTAATTGTGTGTTCATGTTGTCTATGTACAAGTTTACCTCGAGATTCTGATCTAGAATTATGAACCTCTTAAGTCAAAAGGGTTTGGGAGGAAAATCAAGTCAAAAGGGTTTAGGATGGTAATTTAGCCTTGCCTTTTCCCATGTTGTTGGTTTTCTATGCTGATAGGCTACTAAGAAGCTGAAGATTTTTGACTCTTTTTTTTTTTTTTCCGTTGCCTATAAAGCTAGTGTTTCCATCTGATTCTTGATGTAAGTCTTCCTTTGCTAGTGTCACTATGGCTGTTGATGGCATGTGACAGTGTGAGTACGATCTAATTGAAAGTTGTTCTTTCCTGCAGTTTAAGGAGCTTGCTCAAGCTTATGAGGTGTTGAGTGACTCACAGAAGCGTGAGATATATGATCAGTATGGAGAAGATGCACTGAAAGAAGGAATGGGTGGCGGCGGTGGAACGCATGATCCATTTGACATCTTTGAATCCTTCTTTGGTGGAAATCCTTTTGGAGGTTAGATCTCATGAAACCTATTTGATGCTTGTTAGTTATGTTAATCAAATTTTCTTGCTGAATTTAGTTTCTGCATCTTTCGTGTCTTGGAAACTTGAATAATACAAGTGTTATTGTTGAGCAGGTGGTGGTAGCAGCAGAGGAAGAAGACAGAGAAGGGGTGAGGATGTAGTGCATCCATTGAAGGTCTCTCTCGAGGACCTTTACAGTGGGATAACCAAGAAACTCTCCCTTTCGCGCAATGTAATTTGCTCCAAGTGCAGTGGGTGAGTATTTGTTGTTTGTTACTCTCACTTTTATTTTATATGGCAAGTGTTTGGTGCGCATTGTCTTTACAACAAAAGAAAGTTTTTTGGTATGTATCACGCGTCAAAACATTTCATAACTATAATAGCATGCCATTAAGGGTAAAATGTACTATTGGAATTTATAGTTGTAAACATTTTGTGGCACTCATGACTATAAAAGGATGTTGTTAAGGGTTAAATATGAAGTTTAAGGGTAAAGAGTCCTCACATATCCAAAAGTATCGTTTGTTTTGGAATAGAAGAAAGTTTTTTGGTATGTATCACGCGTCATAACATTTCATAACTATAATAGCATGCCATTAAGGGTAAAATGTACTATTGGAATTTATAGTTGTAAATATGTTGTGGCACTCGTGACTATAAAAGGATGTTGTTAAGGGTTAAATATGATGTTTAAGGGTAAAGAGTCCTCAAATATCCAAAGTATCGTTTGTTTTGGAATAGACTAAAAAAAGATAGAAAGAAGTGTCATGAGAAATGAGGGGGGGTAAATCTTATAACAAATTTGAGTATACAAACTATTACTTAGATTACATTGGTTTGCTTCTGTGACTGCAGGAAAGGATCCAAGTCTGGTGCTTCAACAAAGTGTTCTGGTTGTAAAGGTAGCGGTATGAAAGTTTCAATTAGACAACTTGGTCCCTCAATGATCCAGCAAATGCAGCACCCTTGTAATGAATGCAAGGGTACTGGAGAAACTATTGACGATAAGGATCGGTGCCCTCAATGCAAAGGTGAAAAAGTGGTTCAGGAGAAGAAAGTCCTTGAAGTTCATGTTGAAAAAGGCATGCAAAATGGACAGAAAATTACATTCCCTGGAGAGGCTGATGAAGCGGTAAGATGATCGATTTTCTCTCTCGTATTTGTGTATGTCAATCTTAACTGAAGCCTAAGGTAGTTGCTGACTTGGTTATATGTTGTTGCAGCCTGATACTGTTACTGGAGATATAGTTTTTGTGCTCCAACAGAAAGACCACCCGAGGTTCAAGAGAAAGGGTGATGATCTGTTTGTAGATCACACATTGAGTCTAACTGAGGCTTTGTGTGGCTTTCAGTTCATATTAACACACTTGGATGGAAGACAACTCCTGATAAAATCAAATCCTGGAGAAGTTGTTAAACCTGGTTAGTATCACCTTGACTTTTACCTAGTATTTTCGACATGGAACATGGATATACATGTGAAAAACTAGTAATGAAGCCATTAAGTTAAAATCTTGAATCTGCCTTTTGCTTGTTTGAAATATTCTTATTAACTTTGTTTTTTCCTTCCTGGTTCCAATTACTTCAGATCAATTCAAGGCAATCAATGATGAGGGAATGCCAATGTACCAGAGGCCATTTATGAGGGGCAAATTGTACATTCATTTCGTTGTTGAATTTCCAGATTCATTGAACCCCGAGCAGGTGAAGGCTTTAGAGGCAATCTTACCACCAAGACCTCAATCACAGTACACAGACATGGAATTGGACGAGTGTGAGGAGACTTCATTACATGATGTGAATATTGAGGAGGAAATGAGAAGGAAACAAGCAGCTCAACAAGAGGCATATGATGAGGATGATGAGATACATGGTGGTGGAGGACAGAGAGTACAATGTGCACAGCAGTAACATATTTCTATAAAGAGTTTTTTGTGAAATAGCCAGATAAGATAACCAGCTTGAACTTTGGGGCTTGCTTGGTTTATTTTTTTTGTTTTTTTTGGGTTTTGGAAAAGCAATGTATTCTGCTAGTCGCTTTATTGAAATAGAAATGTATTATATTTTCTTCTTCCTATTGGACGTTTTCTAATCTATTGTGTTGTTCTCATTTGCATAGTGTCTTAACTTCAATTAGAAATCTTAACTTGTTTTGCCAGAGGGTCGTTGAATGCCTTGAGAAACATTAATTTATTCATGGATAATATTTAACTTTGAATCTTGGACAGTTTAGCTAGTTATTCAGTTAGATGGAATTCAATCTATACTTTGCAGGCAAAAGAAAAGGGAAAAAGAAATAAACTCACATCTGATTTTGCACAAGGTGTGCACAATGTGTCTTGTTTCTGCTTCTACAAACTGAAAATATAGGCTTACATGCAACTGAAGGTGCTAAAGAGTGCTTACGGGACTAATGAATTCTAGATAATCCCCAAGACTAATTACAGAAAAATCTTTTGTGTGTACTTACAGAAGCAATGATGTATAATGCTAATTTTAACAAATTGCTCAAATAAAAATGAGGGAATTCGTCCAGGTTTTTCAGCTACTGGAGGCAGGAACTCCTTGGCTAATGCCCAGTTTCTTTTGTAGAAACCACAAAATTTGAGGGGTCTTTATTGTTGGCTTGTGAATGGATTGGACACACATCTTTGCAACTGCCAAAAGACCTTTGAGCTCTCTAAAATCATAGCTGTCCCCTAGATCTGGATCTATCATCTGGTGAATGGACCTTCTCCGGAGACGAGAATCTTGGACCCACTGAACTAAGTCAACACCTCCGTCCTCCGAGGATTGACCCGTGACTAACTCAAGAATCAACAAACCAAGCTGGTAGATTGTATGTTTGCAAATCTCATCTCTACATTCTGCAAGATAAGCAATGCAAGAACTGAAGAGAGGCTACAGCTTGTATGCTCTGAGGTGATACCAGAAGACATCATACCTTTGGAGCATTTAGATTTTGGCGGTTGAATGTTGTTCTCAATTGAACAAAGAAGGCTAACATCACAGAGCTGTAACAAGGAATCATACATACTGTCATTGATTTGACGACTGTTGACTAGTTTAACAAAAGATGATGCAGGTCTGAAGTGGACATCAAATATGACGATGAAGCAATTCTACTATATATAGGCTTAAGTTTGCAACTCTTACTTTAGCTGTAAAGTTCTCGTCCAGCATGATGGTACTTGAACTGATTGAAACGTGGTACATAGGTGGATCACAAAAGAAATGGAGATATTCCTACATCAGGATGGAACCAACCATCAGCGATTTTAACACTTTGGCAGATGAAGCAGTATAATAATCATATCTCACAAGAGAAACATAAATAGATTTATGTCCAATCTATGGCATATATTACGTTGTATTACTCTGAGCTAGGATATGATCACAAGTTTGACTCCTGCCATCTCTTCTAGGTTGTAACAGAAACATGCAGTTCTTGCACGATCATTATATAATATACGGTACACTCTATATTGGTGTATGCTCCACACCTCCTGAATGGAGCTGAATGACTACACTCATTTTAGATCTACAATGTATCCTGGAATGTAAACTAAACAATCTTGTCAACTGCAAGGACATATGAGTGTTAGGTTCAAGATTCTCTTCTTTTATAACTGAGAAATCCCTAAGGGTTAGCTGGCGCACAGTTTGCTACTCGGGGGATAACGAAGTGGCCATCTACCTTTCTATATTTAAATATTAGGCTTTTGTCCGCAATAGGATATGAACTCGTGACGTGCGCCTGACCACGTATACTACAAGACTACAGAAAATTTTATTTTTTATGACTGAATAACTGGGAAGTTTTTCTCCCCATCAGTGCAAGACTAAACGACTACAGGAACTTATGTCTTCTATAACTAATTAATATGTCTGTACTGCAAATTGTTCTCCAAAGATCAATTTTTTTAGAAGAGGTACCATCTTATGCATATTTTTAATATATATATTCAGCTTACTTGAAAGTTCAATTTTCCAGGAAACAACTTTGGAACACAGAAGTTCAGTTTATTGGAAGCATGGAAAATTAGCTTTCCCGTCCCCCCCGTTCCAAAATCCATAAGAGGTTAGGTCACAACCTGGAAAATCTTGAGCATGCTAATTTCAAATGTCATGAATAGTATTTTGTGTCAAAAGACTACTCGGAATTTAATGCCGCTGGCATCACATACTAGGAGGCACAAAATTTGCAGCCTACGTACGTCATGACTCGCAGCTTAGGCCTCCTGGCCTCCTCTGCTCCGTATTCACTTTCTCCTACCACCCGCACCACGAGAAAAGCTTTTTAAATGACAGAATATTTCTAGTGGTAACAGAAGGGAGGACTGTTTGTCACTACTTCAACAAAAGGTGAATCTGAAACCAAATAGGCCAGGAAATATATATAATGCTAGCATCGTTCTCCATACTGGTTGCTCAGAATGAGTTTAGTGCTCTATCAAAAGAACCGTCTACCATCACGAATATCAGTTCTGGTCAGATTGCTAGGTTTAACAAGAGAATAATTACCTGACTAAATGGAATGATGCTAGCAGAGGGCTCAGAGTCTATATTTAATACTTTTGGGGGCAGTGTCAAAGTGTTTGGCTGTTCGAGTTAGCCTAGCAATAATCTTGTGAACTCTAGTTAGTTATAGTTAGTTAGAGCAGTTAGTGGTTAATGCCAGCTCATATCCAACTCATAAGTTAATGGTTAGTGTAGTTAGGCTCGTATAAATACTCCCCTGTATCCTCAGAGAAGAGATAGAGAATCATTTTGCAATGCTTGCTTCTTCTTCATTTCTGTGCTCTAAAAGCTTCTGCCATTAGAGCAGTGCAGAGCTTTTTGAATCTGCTCCTCGTGAGAGCAGATTTTAGCATGGTATCAGAGCAGGTGCAAGCTAATTAGATTCTCAGTCATTGATCGATCCTTCGACATCAATTTCAATTCCTCTGGAGATTGCTAAAGTGTGAGAATCAGTTATGGCAGAACCAGCAATTCCATACACACATCCATTGTATCTAGGTCCAACAGATACTCCAGGCGTAGTTCTAATTACTGTGAAGCTTACAGGATCTGAAAATTACGGGTTATGGAGTAGGACGATTAAGATCGCACTACTTGGGAAGAGAAAGCTAGGGTTCGTGAATGGAACTTGTACCAAGGAATCATGTACTACTGAGCTACAAGAGCAATGGGAGGCCTGTAACGCCATTGTACTCTCAGGCCCATGAACAAAGTATCCACAGAGCTCTTATGTGGAATCGCATATGCTTCAAATGCTCATCTCGTGTGGGAAGACTTGAGGGAGAGATTCGATAAGGTGAATCGCATGAGAATTTTTCAGCTGCATCGAGCCATTGCCACTCTCTCACAAGCTACAGATTCTGTTTCATGTTACTTCACAAAATTGAAGGATTTATGGATTGAGTATGATGCTATGGTACCTAAGGCCAATTCAAGGGATTATGTTGATCATTTAGAGCAGCAGAGATTGCTGCAATTCCTTAGTGGATTAAACGGTTCTTATGATCAAGCTAGAAGACAGATCCTTATGAAGTCGAATGTGCCTTCCATCAATCAAGCTTATGCAATGGTGATTGAGGATGAATCTAGATAGTGTCCTGGTATGGGTGCAGTAATTGATAAGAATGAGCTAGTAGCTATGCAGGTAGGTCGTAATCAAAGCTATAAGGGACAGAAAACCTTTGTGCAATGTGAACACTGTGGTTACAAAGGTCATAGCAAGGAAAACTGCTATAAGCTCATTGGATATCCTGAAGACTTTAAAGGGAAAAAGAGGTTCAATCAGCCCAATACTAGACAGAGTCAGCTCAATGTTGGACAGTTTGGTTGTGGAAATAGTGGTGCAAATGGACAATTTGGTCGAGGAACTCCACAATTTAATGTTGTTAACAATGTTTCCAGCAATGTAGGTGCTCAATGCTGTTCTAGCTGTGACTTGCTGGATGTTTTTGCTGGAAAAGGACCATTCTTCACTGAGGAACAGTACAAGCAGATTCTAGCATTGCTGAACAAGGAACCAGCTGAAACTCAAAACAACATGGAAAGTCAAAGCAATATGGCAGGTATTACAGCTTGTTTCATGACCAAAGACATTAATAATGAATGGATTGTGGACTCAGGTGCCACACATCATATAGCTGCATCTATGGATTTATTAACAAATGATAATACTAAGAAAGAATCTAAGGACACAGTACACTTACCTACTGATAAGATCCCTATTTCTCATACAGACCATGCATCTCTGTTTGGTATTGAGGTTATAAAAGGTGTTTTATACGTACCAGACTTCAAGTTTAATCTCTTATTAGTCTCCAAACTCACAAGAGAACTGAGGTGTTCAGTGAATTTTTTCCTTGACTTTGTCCTCTTCCAGGATCTTTACCGTGGCAGAGTGAAGGGGATTGGTAAGGAGACAGGTGGTCTATACATTGTCAAAGGTAGCATTAATAATAACAGTAGAAGCTGTAATGTAGCAACATCAGTTGCAGCAAGTGAGGACTGCAAGTTGTGGCATCAAAGGCTTGGCCATCCTTCAGCTTCTGCTATGAAGAGTATGAACTGGTTAGGAAGCATTGTAAATAATGATCTTCTGAATAATTGTCCGATATGTCCCTTAGCTAAACAAACTAGATTATTGTTTCCTACTAGTACTTCTAGGGCACTATCCCCTTTTGATCTTGTTCACATGGATTTATGGGGTCCTTATAAAACACCTACCTATGACAAGAAGTATTATTTCCTTATTGTTGTGGATGACTTTAGTAGGTTCACTTGGATTCATTTACTACAACTCAAATCTGAAACAATTGTTGCAATCAAAAACTTCTTGCTAATGATAAAAAACCAGTTTGGAGTGATGGTGAAAGTCTTAAGATCAGACAACGGCACAAAGTTCTTTAACTCACACTGCAATGATCTGTTACAAGATTTTGGAATTTTGCATCAAAGCAGCTGTGTTCACACTCCACAACAAAATGGAGTTGTGGAGAGAAAACACACGCACATCTTAGATGTAGCAAGGGCACTGAGATTTCAATCAAAAATGCCAATTAGATATTGGGGACTCTGTGTAACTACTGCAGTATACAACATGTTACCCTCATCAGCTATTAGAGGAAAGAGTCCTTATGAGATGCTATACACAAGGCCTCTATCCTTAACTCATCTGAGAGTGACAGGGTGCTTGTGTTTCGCTTCAGCTGTTCCCAAAGAAGATAAATTTGCTGCAAGAGCTAAGGCATCAGTCTTGATGGGATATTCAGAAAGACAGAAAGACAGAAAGGTTACATTTTGTTAGAACTTGCTACCAATCGAATATTTGTAAGTAGAGATGTGGTATTCAAGGAATCTGTGTTTCCTTTTGCAAAAAAAAAACAGGAGTCTCCTATCAGTCACAGTCCTCGTGTTGATCATCTAGATTCTGGCATACTTGATGCTGGAATGCCATCTGCAGAAGTTACAAACAATTCTCAAAGTTTAGGCCAAGATCCAGATGTGGATCAAGGCTCAGTTGAACACACAACTGACAATGCAGAGGAAGACAATGAGTTGCAAGATAACTCATCATCTGAAGGCATCACTCCAGTCATACAGGAAGATGAACATCATGCACCTAATCAAAGCATGGCATCTTATACTGCACTTAGGAAATCTTCCAGGACCTCTATACAACCTATTTGGTTGAGAGATTATGTCACAACACAAAAGGGAACCAGTAAATATCCCATCACTAACTACATATCCTATGACAAAGTCACACCAAAGTACCAAAGCTATTTGACAAAGTTTTCTACATTAGTTGAGCCCAAATCCTTCAAGCAGGCTACAAAAGATGCTAGGTGGATTGAAGCAATGAAGCAAGAAATCAAGGCTTTAGAGGATAACAAAACTTGAGAAGTTGTAGATTTGCCATCAGGAAAACATACTGTGGGATCCAAATGGGGTATACAAGATCAAATACCAAGCAAATGGAGACATTGAAAGATTCAAGGCTAGACTAGTTGCAAAAGGATATAGCCAACAAGAGGGTCTGGATTACCATGAAACTTTCTCTCCTGTAGTGAAGATGGTACAGTGAGGTTAGTCATAGCCTTGGCTGTTTCAAAAGGATGGAATTTATACCAGATGGATGTCTACAAAGCCTTTTTACAAGGTGATCTTTATGAAGAAGTTTACATGGATATGCCTGAAGGCTTTAGGAGGCAGGGGAGCAGAAGGTCCGCAAATTACTTAAGTCCTTGTAGGCATCAAGACAGTGGAACATCAAGTTGTCTGATGCACTGGCAGTAGCAGGCTCCATACAAAGCAACCATAATTATTCCTTATTCACATTGAGGAAACCAGAAGGCATGGTGATCATCTTAGTGTACGTGGATGATTTTACTCATCACAGGCAGCAATGATCAACTAATTACTGAGGCAAAGGAGATACTTCACCAACAGTTCAAGCTAAAGGACTTAGGTGAGCTTAAGTATTTTTTGAGTATTGAGATTTTAAGGTCAGCATCTGGGGTAGTTTTGAATCAAAGGAAATATGTTTTAGAACTCATTTCTGAGATGGGACTCAGTGGTGCTAAACCAGCAATCACACCTTTAGAAACCAGTGTCAAGTTAACCACAATTGCCTATGATCAGGCAACAAGTTCTACAGGTGACTCACTTTTAGATGATGCCAGTGCTTATTAAAGATTGATAGGTCGTTTGATGTATGTGACCACAACAAGACCTGATATTAGCTATGCTATTCACACATTGAGCCAGTTCATGCAACACCCCAAGAAGTCTCATTGGGGGGCTGCTCTTAGAGTGGTTAGGTATTTGAAGAATGCTCCAGGCCAAGGTATTTGGTTGAGATCTAATCCTACATCAGAGTTGCAATGTTGGTGTGATTCTGATTGGGCTTCTTGCCCCAATACTAGGAGATCAGTAACAGGTTACGTGATAAAATTTGGTGAATCCCTTATTTTATGGAAGTCAAAGAAGCAGCAAACAGTGTCTAGAAGTTCAGCTGAAGCTGAATATCGAAGCATGGCTTCTGCTGTAGCTGAAGTCACATGGTTGTTAGGCCTCTTCCAAGAGTTGGGAGTTCCTATTAAGCTTCCTGTTCCAGCGCAATGTGACAGCAAATCTGCTATACAATTGGCTGCTAATCCTATTTTTCATGAAAGAACAAAACACATTGAGATCGATTGCCATTTCATTCGTGATAAGATCAAGACAGGGGTGGTCAAGTCTGTCTATGTCCATTCCAAGGATCAACCAGCTTATTACTCACCAAAAGCGTCTCTCAAGCCTCACATGTTCATCTTCTTAGCAAGCTTGGTGTGCTGAATATATTGCACCCTCCAGCTTGAGTGGGAGTCTTGTGAACTCTAGTTAGTTATAGTTAGTTAGAGCACTTAGTGGTTAATGCCAGCTCATATCCAGCTCATAAGTTAATGGTTAGTGTAGTTAGGCTTGTATAAATACTCCCCTGTATCCTCAGAAGAGATAGAGAATCATTTTGCAATGCTTGCTTCTTCTTCATCTCTGTGCTCTAGAAGCTTCTGCCATTAGAGCAGTGCAAAGCTTTGTGAATCTGCTCATCGTGTGAGCAGATTTTAGCAAATAACTACATCTTCAATATGGTAATTCAAAATCGTAAAAAGCATAATATGGAAATATTCAGCATAAGTACAAGATATGCAGCTTCAGGAACATACCACAGCAGCAGCAATGCCAACGGCGATCTGCAACCGTATTCTCCAGTTCAATGGAGTCTTCAGAGGATCTGCAAGGACCACATTTAGTCAGAGGCGCATCCATGAAACTCAACACGAAATGGCAGAAGAAAAAAGAAAAGAAAAAAAAAATTGAAGACTTCCTTAAAAACTTACCAGAGAGGTGTTCCTTCAGACTTCCTTTTTCCATATCTTCAAAGACTAGAAACCTGAAAGTAGACAAGACCTGCTATCAAAGAGTGGGTAAAAAGCCAAAAGAATAAAAGAAAAGAAAACCGAAAAAGGCAACAAATGAAAAGAAAGAAAAAAGGAAACTCTGCACTCAGAAACTGTAGGAAGTAAAGAAAATCCACTGCAATTCAGCAATAAAGCTCTCTGATGATATTTATTTTAGTTGTATTATGTGAAAGGATGTGGCTAAATTATATGCAATATCTGTATTATACGATCGCATGATATTATCAGATCAGGCAGAAAGGCAGAAATCCTAGGTCAGACTCCCATAAGAACCATCAACGAGATACTTTCATTTACTTTGGAAATAGCACTGTACTTTCTCTAACAAGACGGTCTACACAAACAATTCAGCATGATATTGTCAGATCAGGCAGAGAGGCAGAAATCCTAGATCAGACTCTCATCAGAACCATCAACGAATACTTTCATGTTCTTGGAGTAATAAAGAAAAGCAGGTTTGCACGTGAGGAGCATGTTGCAGATGTATAAGAAAATATTAAAGTTTCTCGTCTCTAACTGTATGGTGGTTAGTACAATTCAACAAACTAGAAAAGTAAATATGGGAACGTGTTCCATTTGGAACATTACAATGCAAAGCATTGAAAAGTTCTATCTGGGGGTTACTTATAAAAAACATTCATACAGGTTAGTAAAAAAACTGTTTAAAATGAAGCACTATCACAGCAAATAAAGGCTTCAGGCTTAAATATTTCAACTTATTGGAGACCAGGGAAAACAGAACTTAGCAGAAACTACAAAGAGCTTCAGAAAAAAATTGAGATGCCGTGCATATCAAGGGGCAGAATGTCATGCAATTCAGGAATAAACACAGTAATAAAGAACAAATTTTTCCAAATATGGGTGCTCCCAAATTACAGCTAAGTCTTTGAAAGTAATAAGGCATTTCTTGAGAGAAATACGATGGCTACCATCCAGCAGTAGACCTAGATGTTCAGAAAATATGATGGATATCTTTTACTTTTTGCCAGATAGGAAAAAGAACTAATAATATGGTTTAGAATGTGCAATAGCACAGTATTATATTCTAATAGGTAATATGATCAAGAAACAATCAACTAGTCCCTTCACCCACTCTATCTCATAGTTAGCTTAATAATCAACAAGACATAGGACCCTTCCACAATTAAAAATCTCCGTCAAGCCAAAGCTTAGGAATTAACCTCTTAGGGCCACTAGAGAACCCACTAAGTGCAGCAATATGCCGATGATGTAAACGACCGAGTAACTGTACCTCCCTATAGAAGGCAGTATCATCCTGATCTTCAGCAGCTCGGACTTCTTTTACTATCGCAGCATGGCCATTTCGAAATTTGGCTCTGTAAGCAACTCTTTTGGAAGAGATATAAACAACTCTCCTAAAACCATCAGTTGCTTTCTTTATATCTTTATAAGAAAAATGTTTCACCAAGGATATTGGACCTGAAAATTGATAAAATTTTATAAACAAAAAATCCCATGATTTTCAAGGCTAACTTTATGTCTAGCAGTAGATACCATCAGATCTGTTTTAGTTCAAAGTTCAGACGGTCAAGTAAAATTTGTTCTAAAGTGAAGCTACTTGCTAGATTAGTTGAAGTGTTTGTATAACAATGTAGCGTCAAACAAATAGTTTAGGAGACAGGACAGAATTCCATCAACGAGCCACAGCTTATAACGAAGTTGCCTGTCAGCGACAACCCCGCTTTACAAATTTTATTTTCAGTCACTAGAGCACAACGTCTGCTATTGTCGTAGTTTCCATCTCAATGCTTCCATATATTGAATACAAGGAACAACAAGAGAACAAGGTAAATCACAGGTAAGCATATAATTGGACAAAATTTTATAGTCGTACTTTCGGTCATGTAATATAGGGAATTATATTCAAGCACAAATTACTAGATGACAGCCAAGCCTTACACTATCATATTTTGGGTCTCTCCTAGTTTTTTTTCTTTTTGTTCTTGTTTCTCCTTCCTTTTAGCTTCTTTCTATCACCAATTGCCAATGCCAGAATAAGAGAAAAAGTAAAAATAAAAACCACTAACAATGCCACTATCCACACTTCTCCAGTCAGCATAAAAAGACAAGTCAAAATCTTTTGTAATTCACAAAGTTACAATTTTCTTTAATTCACATCAATTTCAAATTCAAGTTCATAACAAAACTGCAGCTGAAACACCTCTACTCAGCAGAAAATGACAAGTCAAGATCACTCACTATGAATTCATAAAATTACAACTTTACTGAAAACCCACTTCAAAATTTAACATCAGGGTAATTATAAATCAAATTTTCAAGAAACTACCACACAATTACACACAATCTTATACTCAAGACCTGTCACAACATGATTGACTAAACCAACCAAAGTTAAAATTGAAGAAATGCAATTTTACATAATTTGGGCCAGCTGGGCTTACCTGAATGAGATCTGAAATGGAACCAAGCAAGAAGAAGAAGCCTGATCTTGAAGATCAAAGCTTCCATTGACAGATAATGCAGAAGAAGGAGAAAAAGGAGGAGCTGTTAATAAGAGTGGAAAGTGGGTCAGTTAACTCATTATGACCCATTGTTGCTTCTGACTTTAAAAATGGAATATATTCCCCCCCTTTGCTTTAATAATTTGGGAAATTTTACTGTCCTTTTCATTTTACTTTTGCTCTGTTAGGTATAAATTGCTATTATTGTTAACAGTTGGAGAATAGAATAAGATTATATATATGATTTTGAAGGAGTGAAAGAGAGGATGCTAACGGGTAAAAATAAAAAAAGAACGGGTAAAAATTAACGGCAGTGGTTAGGTCGTTAAGGTGGTGGGGCCCACGGGGTGAAGGGTAATATAGTAAATTGGAAATTGTGTTTGAAACCCCTAGCATGTGATTAAAATGTAAGTTAGATACGTATTTATTAATAGACTAGTTTTAGGATACGCGCTTTGCGCGTGTGTCTATATCATTGAATATATAATTTAAAAAATTAATATAAATATTATTAACTAAGAGTTTGACTTATGAAATTAAAATTAAAGAAAAACAAGTTCTTGAAAATGATGACCGGTGATCCCATTTTATTAGCTCAATAAAGGAAGGAATCTTGCCAATAGAAATCCTCATATACCTTATTGTGATTTCTATGGATTTATATGGGAATATCTTACGAAAATTAATGTCATTTCTATAGCCTAATACTGAAAACAAACAAATAACATAAAATACTTTTATTAACGAAGATAACTAAAATAATTTGAAAAATTGAATCTTTTGGTCTTTAGAAATGATGAGGTTGGTTTTATTGCTCATAAAAAAAACTAATAAGTGACAATATAAAATCTAAAAATAACTGATGTTGAGTTACTATTTTATAACTATTAACTTAATACATAGAAATTGTAAAGGTTGTCATGTTTGGAATAATAATAATAATAATAATAATAATAATAATAATAATAATAATAATAATAATAATAATAATAATAATAATAATAATAATAATAATAATAATTTATGACAACTTATTTAGAATATATTTTATCTTCCATTTTTTCATCCTTATTATTTTAAGTTTGTATTTTTACTAATTTGATTCATAATTCTAATTTTAACTAATTTTGTTCATTTTTTTCCATCGCTAATACTCTTTTTATGGATATAAATTTATGTATCCTAAGATTTTTGTTAATTTGAAAACTAATTTACTTATATGATGAATTAAAAAAATAATTAAATTGAATTCTTTCGATAATTAGTAATTCAAAGACTTAATTATTTATTTTTAACATTGTTTTTTATTCATTCAAGTTCTTCATATATTAACTCATTCAGAGTTTTAAAAAATTAATCTAATATTGCACTTTTAAATTTATGAGTTGATAGATCTTTTATATTAGTAAATATCTTTTTAGCAATTTTTTTATTATTGATCAGTGTACTTTTCAAAGATTATACAAAGACAATATCTAGAAAGCTAGAATTTAATTGTAATTAGAATTTCAAAAGTAGGTATAACGTTTATTCTTATTGAATAACATGAGAAATTAGAAAATAATATCCACTAAAATTCATTTACTTCTCTAGTGTTATACCGTTAATTTTGATTAGGTTTTCGTGCTTAGTCATAATGAAACATACATAAAATAATGTTCTAAAATATTATCTATAATTACAAATTTGCTTAAACTTTTTTTGCACTAATTGTAATTAAAAAATATTAATTGTTTGAGCTCTTTTTTTTTACCTTGGTAAAAATAAATATAGAGAGAAAAGATTATTGAAAGTACTTTGAATACTTTTATACTAAAATTAGGACATAAAAATGATACTTTCATTGGCCAACAACAATCCACTACCTATTCTAAGCCGTAAATTTTCTTTTTCTAAAAAAAAGGAAATGTTTTGTTCAGTTTTTTTCATGCTTATAGCATACAAGTAATATTTAGTACATAAAATTTAGTACGTTAGGCCTCGTCACATAGAAGTTCAAACAAGGAATATTTAGTATATAAAATTTTAGTTGATTTGGAACTCCTAAATATTAGGGAATAGTGCACAAAATTAAGTTGATTTAGAATTCTTAAATATTAGCAAAATAATTAAATTACTATTTTGTCTAATGTGAAATTTAATGTTAAAGGGTAAAAAAGACGAATAACATTTCGCTAAGGGCCTTCGTGCTTTTAATATAGTATAGATATAGATAGATATAGATGACCTCATTTTGTCATATAATTCCTTGCCTTGAAGTGCGTGTCACACCTCTCAAATGAACTTCCAATCGTGCCGATTTCTTTTACAATATTTATGTTGAATACAGCTTACACTATTTACGTGTCACTATGAAGATCATTAGAATAATAAGCAACCGATAAATAACTAAAATGATAAATACTTTAAACCAAATTGCGCAACCAATATATGAATTAAATCACACTCGTTATTTAAAGTAAATTATTCTCCCTTCGATTCATAATAAACAACTTTTTAGTTTTTAAAAAGATATATTGACTAAATTACCCTTAATTAAAATTTGCATATTGCTACTTTGACACATTGAAATATGTAATGAGGCCAAATTTTGAAAAAAATAAAATTGCGTCCTTCTTGATTACCACAACTAGTATACGTACCCGCGCGATGCGCGGATTGCAAAAACAATATATTAGCATGATAATATTGCTCTTAATTATTTGCTCATTTGAATTCTATTGAAAGTATGGTAAGACAGTAGTAGCTTTCTTGAAATGAGAGATAAATTATGAAATATTCCAAGAGTTAAAGTGATAAAGACATTCATAAGTGTACTCTGGCCTGTGAAAATATGCAATACAAATGCAAGAATGCAAAATGAATAGAAAGTAAACAGTAATGTTGGTACTAATTTGTATGCTTCATTCTCATTATGGTTAATTCAGCTAACTGAAAACTAAAATCTTTACTGTATTATTACACGACTGTTGAACTATTCCAATTGTATTCAAAGATGGAGCTAACACTCTCAAGATTGTATATGACTGTGGTTTCTTACATCTCTACTTCAATAGATGTAGAGATGAACGAAGTGACATCAATAGCTGACTATGAGCAAATAAATGCTGCCTTAACTCCAAGCTTGGACGCGAAAGTGAGATAACAATAGGAAAATATAATAAATATCACTTTTCGATTGTAACAGGTTCAAAAACATCAGGGAAGAAAGATCTTTTATGTTCTCGACTCCAGCATCAGCTAACACACAACCACAAAGGTGAAGTGATTGCAGATTTAATTTCTGATTCCTCCTAATCAAGAGTTGAGATTGTTGAATCTTGAATTTCCAACCACCATATTGCAAAGGAAGATATGCTATCCATTTTAATAGGGAACGGGAACTCGCATCGATTCAGGCCCTGATTTCATATCCTCCAAAATAAGATTTAGCAAAGCTTGTGTCACAGAACCTTCTCTACCTACAGTAATGAGGAAGAAGCAGAAAGTAAATGAGAATACCATCAGTAAAACAGCTAAACCCATTTTACAACGATCGTAAATTTATATGTCCCTCTTGCATAAATATGACACAAGATTCCGATGGGACTGGTGTTCAGAAAGAACAACAATGAGTGAGCATATATTAGTATCTAATATCTGTCTAGTCTCAGTTTGTCAAACATTACTTTCTTTGGACCACGAAATTAACAAACGTTTCTTCCTGCTCGAATTTTGAAATATCATATTTGGAGCAGCATATGAAACACAAGCAAATCGAATAAAGTTTACACTTCAGGTCTGAAAATGAATCTTAGGTATAACAGTTACTATGGACAATAATGGCACAGTACACAGCAAGGCGAGATTACTATTTATATGCATGAGCATGAAGGAATAGTATGAGATGCTCGTCCTTTGTGATCGTTGTCCAAATATTATTAAGAAGTCAAGTTCAAAATTCTGTTTTCGAGCTACCAACTGTGAGATCTCTTGACAGGTAAAATAAAGTTCCTGGAACAATCAGCTTCCGCGAAGGCGTGAACTCTAAATTTCACTGGTATTTTATGGAATAAAATGTTGTAGATAACTGCTCTATCTCTATTGAGTCCTTATAAAATTGCTTGAACCAAAGTGAATCTTTTCAACTTTTCAGTGACCTGACCTGGAGACCAGGCACATAGCATGAGAAGCACCAATGGCTACTGAAAGCACGTTATGGCTCCCAAGTCCATCATCCTCCATGAGAAACTTGACTTCAATAGGAGATAATTATTTCTCTGGCAGTCCGGGAACCCCCAGTTGACAATCTTGTGCATTGCCCCACATGTATAGCTTCCCACCATCTGTCACCAATAAAATTAATCATTAGACAACAACATTACATCCTTTGTACAATAAGCTAAATATGCAAGAAAAATGAACATCGCTGATTGACCAACAGGTCTCTAAAGCAGGGATGGGAAGTGGTAACAATTGGATCAGAATAATTGTGACATATTTACCAGTTATAGCTGCCGACGATGAACCTCCAGAAGCTATATAGATGACTTTCTCGTGGGTCAAAGCCTCAACCGGGATAGGAACTTTCTGGTTGTGAAGAGAAGAATTACCTAGTTGACCATGGCCTCCATGACCCCATGAAAGCACTTCTCCGTTGTTTGAGAGTAAATGATACTTTCTAACATAAGTAGTTCAGATACAAATATGCATGTGAGATACAAATATGCTTGCAATGTAAAATAATATGCGTAATCATTTAAGGTATTCCATACCTTGTAGTATTGTAATTCCCTGTTAAGATCACCTGCATCCATGAAGAGGCTAGCAAGATTGGACCATGCAACGGCAAATGTAGGTTGTATACGTAGTGCCTCCATACATGTAGGTTGTATCCCTCTCGTCATACATGTACTAAACCTTGCATATAAACCTTGCATACAAATTGTGACAGATACTTCCTGCTTGACTTAGTCATTGAATGAGTACAAGTATCCTTTTCTAGTATCTGGTTTGATAAAATCATGAGACTTTTAGTTGAGCACAACAGAAAACAACTCACCATGCTACACGGATACAATCAAGAGCATATTAGCACTGTTTCCGACAAATATACTGGGCAAATAATTTTTTTATTCATTACAAAAATATTTAGTTGCTACAGTTCGTTCCATATCACTTAAAGAACTCTTTAAATAGAATTGGAATAACTGGAGCAACTTCTTATACAGTTGATGCTATGGGGATCAAAGAAATTTCATATAAATCTTAGCAAGTACTTTAATGATACTGGAAAAATGTTGACTTTTCTATAATTTATACAAAATTGTTAATCCTACTTTCAAAAATAGAAACATAAATATTACAGAAAAGAAGAACTTTAAACTATGTGAAAGTTAAATATGTTACCTTTGAATACTGTAAAACCAATTTTATGGAATATGATATTTCAGGCTTGGATCGATCCGTATGTATGTATATAAAAGGGCTAAGAAAGTCTCAGTATTTTACCTCTTCCACTAACACTTGTGCTTTCATCTGATTCCCAAGATTGCTATGTGCATCAACCTAGAATGAACACAAGTGAGTTAAGAAACAAACATAGAAGGATGTAAATCATCTGAGCTGTTAAAAAGAAGCTAAAAACATAGGTAAACTCGAATACCAGACGAGGATTTAAAGCTAGTACCTAACATCAACTTTGAGCTGCCTCACTCAGCCTTCCTTTCCTCATATATGCACCAGCTAGATTTGACCAAGCGTCACCAAAATTGTGACGCAGCTGCAACACAAATTTGGACTTAGATTATGTCATCCAACGATAATGAACCATAACTATTTCATAGGAAACACCTTGACTGTATTACTATACGAAGGTTTTAATGTACCAAAAGCCAAACTTACAAATTCAGTAAGGCGTCAAAGGCAATACAAAAATTAAGTAAGACGTCACATTTGTACTTCATGGTAACACAGTTCATCAAAATGACATTCTTAAAAATAATATTGAGTAATGAGTTCATCATATTATTCTAACCTGTGTGGTACAACGTGAAACTGCGTCTATAAGATTGTATTGTGTTTTACTTGTAGGACTCCATCTACCTTCATCCATTCTGTGAAAATACTCCAAAAATATGTGAAAATAATCCTGACATATCTGTATTTACAATATTTTTTTAAATGTTAATTTTTATATAGAATAGAGAAATAGAGAAATATATTAAAAAACAACAAAAAGTAAAGCGTACCTATCCAAAGCTACAAATGTCTTATCAACAACTGTTGTCCCCTACTATACCCCTAAACTACAAGCTAGCGCGCAACGGCTGAAAAGCCGTTGTTGCTTGCTGCTTGCAGGCTCGAAAATCTCTCTTTCGCCTCTCCGCCCGACTTTCCCAAATGCCCCCCACCGGCCCTTCTCCTTTACGGGTCTGAATTTTTTGCGTCGTTTCATCTCGCTTTTCGTTCATTTTCGCCACGAAAACATAGCCGCCATAATAAGAAGCAGGCGAAGCAGCTAGAAGTACTCGCTTCACGCCCTTGTCTTCAGCAATCCAGAGACAAAGTCCATGGCTATCTCGTCCCACTTCCACTGTGGTATCTAAACTGGCTGTAAGGGTCCTGCTGGTCTCTGGTGCTCCGTGTGTGGGCCACACTTCAGAAAGGCCAAAAAGGGGGTCTCCTATTTCTCGTCCCATAGAGAATCTCCGCGTTGCGGATCGCCCTTGGTTAATGAATCTCAGCAACAAAAGTAGTAGTTAAACCTCAAAAAAGATACTGATTATCTTTCGAGTGTCAGATTAAATTTCGAAAAACTTCTTTAAATACAACATTTGTAGCTTCAGTAGTTATTTGCCCATCGTCATCACAAACCAAAATTTTTAATCCCTTTCTGCTTGTCACCCGAGAAAGAGCAACATATAGTTGTCCATGTGTAAAAACTGGCTTCTTCAAAAATAAACCCACGTGAGACAATGAACGTCCTTAACTTTTGTTGATTGTCATGGCAAAAGAAACAATGATTGAAAATTGTCTTCGCTGGAACTTAAATGGAATTCTAGCATCAGATGGAGTCAATGTCATTCTTGGAATAAACACTTTCTGTCCGGCCATCTGTCCCGGTAACACCTTGGCTTCAATAACTTGATTTCCAAGTTTAGTTATGATCAACCTTGTTCCATTACATATTCCTGCTGACCGATCAATATTTCTTAATAACATTACTGGAATACCAACCTTTAGAGTAAGGGCATGATTTGGAACTCCAGAACATTTAATTGTATTTAAGAATTCAGGAGTGTGTACATGTTCCAGTGCTGAATAAGTATTGTCAGAGCTGCAGATTGTATCAGAACTCAAATATGATTTCTCAGAACTTTGATCAAGAGAAATCATATATTCGTTGATTGATTCCACCATATCAAGAGTTGGAGTAAGAATGGCTCTTTGCTGGAGGTATCCTATATCATTGCAGCGGCTGTTAAAATCTGGATATGTACTCTCTACAATTGCAGATGTTGGATCAACAAATTCTTTTAAAAAGATCATCTGGTATTTGTACTTTTTCATTGCCCTCAACAGAAGTACCAACTATACCATCGCCAATTGCCAATATCCAATTTGAAAAAACTCTCAACTCATCTACATGTCTCCCTATTTCATTACCTTGCAATCTCATATTCTTTGTTAACTTTAAGAGTTGACAGTGAGGCCACAAATAAGAAGAATTGAGAGAAGCATTAACAATATCTTGTCTACTACCTTTTGGAATGATAGGTAATATTTGTCTGAAGTCACCACCAAGAACAATTATTTTACCTCCAAATGGTAGGTGTAAATTGGATGGATCTTTAAACCTAAGAATATCTCTTAAAGTTTTATCAAGAGCTTCAAAACAATATCTATGCATCATGGGTACCTCATCCCTAATAATCAGCTTTGCCTTAATAATTAAATTAGCTAAAGGAGTACCTTGCTTGATATTACATGTTGAATCTTCAGTTACATTCAGAGGAATCACAAATCTTGAATGAGTTGTTCGACCACCTGGTAACAACAAAGATGCAATCCCGCTAGATGCAATAGTTAACACAATATCTCCTCTAGATCTTATGGCAGAAGATAGAGTTCTCCAAATGAAAGTCTTGCCCGTTCCTCCAAAACCATATAAAAAGAAAAATCCACCTTTGTCTTCATTCACATCTCTTATTATTTTTTCATAAACTGATCTTTGCTCATCTGTCAAATTCTTTACTAATTCTTGATGTTCCTCTGCCAAAGCGCGTTTATTATAACGCAATTCATCCCGTATTAATCTATTACTGTTGTCAACTTCTTCCGTATTATAAACAGGCCTTGGCATTGTTGGAAAATCCTGAAAACTTCTTCCACAACCTTTCAAAAAACTTTCAAGCTTTTGCAAACAACGACTTTTCAATTCTTCATCTGTTAGCTCAGCTTCTGAAATAACATGGAAATATAAAATAATTAAATACAATTAGATTGTAAAGTTTATGTCACGACCCAATACCCACCCGGTCGTGATGGCACCTCTCGTGAAGACAAGGCCAGCCAACAGAACAATCGACACTGCTTTTGACAATTTCTTAGCATAACAGGTTTAAATCATAGATACTGATTAATCATAAGTGCGGAAATAAACGTAACATAACGGGGAAAAACCATCCCAACCTCAGCCCGATGATCGGGGTGTCACAAGTGACGAGCTATTACAGAGTTGGTGAAAATACTACAAGTCTGGAAATATAGTCTGAAGATGAATAAAATATGCAGAAGATAAGGAAGAAAACGGGGTTGTGGACGTCGACAGCTATCTCGTCTCTCCTAGTCCGCCTGGTCTGGAAGAAAATCAGCGCTCAGGTACGAACTCAGCTGTGCCTGTCTCTGCACACATGGTGCAGGAAGTAATGTGAGTACTCCGACCCAGTGAGTAATAAAAATTAAATAACGAATGAGAACATAAAATCCCACAAGGGCACAAATAATGCTATCTCAAGCAGCAACATCAGATAAACAGTAGAAACCAGTGAAATATAGTAAGGAAATCCTTTGAAAACAGTTAAAAATCAATCATACTCAACCAGTAAGTCAGCCATTGTTACCTGACCGGTCAGCCATTGTTACCTGACCAAACGCATGTTACAGTGCCATTGTTACCACTGGTCAGACATTGTTACCTGACTGATCAGTCATTGTTACCTGACCAAACGCGTATAACAGTGTCATTGTTACCACTGTTCAATATTTAATCACTCTAGATGGGTACCCGCGCTCACTGTGGGTGTGCAGACTCCGGAGGGGCTCCTACAGCCCAAGCGCCATCAACAAGGGCTGAAAGCCTGAACAGTATCAATACGAGGCCTGAAAGCCTCCTCACCTCACTCATCATGCCCTCACATAAGGCCCTCGGCCTCAATCAGTCCAGAAATAGTCAACAGCCCCTCGGGCAATAGTAAAGCAATGATACTCAGGTCAAACAATAGTTCAAATATCAGTTTTAAACTCCAAGTTTGAGTAAATATGGCTGAGTTCAAGAAAACAGTGTAAATCACATGGACTGAGTTCAAATAATATTTCAAACAGTGATGATAGTTCATAAAGAGTTCAAACAGTCGGCACTAAGCCCCAAATATGGCAATAAGCCCAAATCATAGTGAAAACAACAAGTAATTGCTAATACGCGGTAAAAATATCATTCAGACTGGTCCAAGTCACAGTCCCCAATAGTAAATGACCCCGCGCTCGTCATGGAACGCGTATCTCATCTCAACATAGCACCAAGTTGTGCAAGTCCGGGGTTTTCAAACCCTCAGAACATCATTTAAAATCATTACTCACCTCTAGCCGGCCAAAGTCTAGCTCGCTATGCCTTTTCCCCTTGAATCGACCTCCTCGCGCGTCGAATCTGATCAAAACCACAAGGAATACATCACAATAGGCTAATGGATCATAACCCAATCGAAAAGACTCGAAAAATATCAAAAATCACGAAGTTGGCAAAACCCGAGCCCCGGGCCCACTTCTCGAAAAATTACGAAATTCACATCTCCGGATTCCTCGTCTCGCCACGAGTCTATACATATCAAAATCATCAAAATCGGGGTCCATTTGACCCCTCAAATCCCTATTTTAAACTCTCTTAAATTCAAGCCCTAAACCATCATTTTTGACCTTTGATTCCTTGATTATTCAGTCCAAATTCATGTTTATACACCATAAAATCAAGCTCTAAGTCCAAGAGTTCATACCTGATAATAGCCCTCGAATCCCTCTTCAATATCGCCTCAAAGCTCTCAAGGTTCGGAGTCCAAAATGCTACTCTTTCAAAAATTCGCGAGGAAGATGTTTTCACTTAACCTGCCAGTTATTTCCGCTTTTGCGGATTAATTCCCGCTTTTGCGCCTTCCGCTTATGCGGTCAACGTCCGCTCCTGCGGACCTTTCACTTAAGGCGACTTTCCGCTTCTACGGTCCAACTTCGCATCTGCGGGACCGCTTAAGCGACCCAATGTCCCGCTTCTGCGGAACCTGACCTGGGCTCCTATTTCCGCTTCTGCGAGGCCTAGCTCGCTTCTGCGAGACCGCATCTGCGATCTCCTTTCCGCAGATGCGGAAACACCTGCTGCAACCAAAAACCTGCAATTTTTCCAACTTCAAATTCCTTCCGTTAGCCACCCGAAATCACCCCCGAGGCCCCCGGGACCTCAACCAAAGTTACCAACACATCTTAAAACATTATTCAAACTTGTTCCAATCCTCAAAACACGTCTAACAACGCTAAAACCATTAAGTTACATCGAATTCAAGCCTAAGTTTCTTCAAAACTTCCGCAATACGCATTCGATCAAAACTCGACCCAAAATATCTCCGAATGACCTGAAATTTTGCACACACATCCAAAATCACCTAACGGAGCTACTGAAACTCTCGGAATTCCATTCCGACCCTCGGATCAAAATCTCACCTACCAACCGGAATTTGCCAAAATACTAACTTCGCCAATTCAAGCCTAATTCTACATCGGACCTCCAAAACCAATTCCGATCACGCTCCTAAGTCACAAATCATCCCCCGAAGCTAACCGAATCTCCGAAAATCACATCCGAGCCCTCTAACCAACTAGTCAACTTCCGGTTGACTTTTCCAAAATAAGCTTTCCTTAAAGAGACTAAATGTCTCATCTCCTACCAAGACCAAACCAATCCAACTCGATTACCTCAAATACCGATAATGAAGCATAGAGAAACATAATATGGGAAAAACGGGGCGGTAACTCACGTGACGACGGGCCAGGTCGTCACAGTTTAATTTAGCCTCATGAAATAAATAATAAGATTAACGAAAAACTATAGTGGTCAATAGTAGTTTACATTAATTTAAAGTACATTTAACGTACATAGAATTTGAAGTAATAATATAGTCGAAACAATGTGCTCCATTTTATTTTTAAAAATTGTTAACAATGTGAATATGCAATTTATTATTCGTAATGTATAAAAAAAAAAAATAAGTTTTTACATTAATAAAAAGTTAATCGAAGTATTTTCAATTAAAGCAGAGAATGCATAAGAACGATTATAGGCTTTCCCGAAGGTTTAGGCCATTAAATACAATGCATTAATTTTGAATTAGTATTTATGTCTGAAAAGTGCATTATTTAGTACCAATATTATTCCAATCATCTAAACAGAACAATATTTTAAAAGACAACATAACAAAATATTGTTTAACAAACATTAAGTTGTTGAGTGAATTTTGTATGAAGTTGAAAAATAAAAAAAGAAGATAATGAACAATCGGATTAATATGAATGAAGTAAGTAAAAAGAAAATTAATTAATAAAGTTACGCAAGTTGGCCATCCTTCATAAGTATCATATCATAAATCGAAATTGTAAGCATTAAAAAAAAATACCTGGGTGATCCAATATTCTTCTTTCTTCATGAAGGATATCTTCTGATAGTAAATGCCATGTTGCTTGCCAAACAATTGCTGGACGTGACATTGAATTTGATAAAAGTAGCATAGCAAATAGTTGCCTAAGATATGATGCCGTTCCCCAATTACTTGCTTCCATTATAGCATCCACGTATTCCTTGTCATCATCTAATAAACCCAACGCATAACATGCATCTCTAAAAGTCTCATGATCAACCCCGTTGATTTTTTTAAATCGTCATAACTCTTTAGACCTTTAATGACATTCAACAACAATCTAAGGTAATATTGCTCGCCAGAGCCAGGTGGGACAAAGAATATTCTCCCAATAGAAAATGCAGATGTTCTTCTTTTTTTCCATCTTTTTAAGTTTTGTTTCCACACAAACTTTAGAGGGAATTCTGCATAAGTCAATTATGTTGCTTCAGGAAATGTCTTATTAGCTTCAAACCAGCTTAAAAACGTAGATTCCTTTACGGTTGGTCTATTGAAAACAACATCAATTGGATCATCATCCGAAAATATGACCGTCTGATTATTTGGTAGGTGAAAAGATAGCCTTCTACCGGTGGTTCTCTATGGTGTATTGAGAATTTAAAAATTCTCCAATCAGCTTCACAAGGTGATATGTATCGGCAATCACAATACATATTTATTTCATCAACGACCCCCGATTCTTCATTATTTACACTTTGAGAAAAAGCTGGCGGTGACACGATCATTACCTTTATTTACATACTTAAATAAGTATTTAATGGATCGTGATTGATTACACCACTCCACGTTAATATGTGCACCATACTTCATTAATAAAAATCTATTGTATGGTACAACATACGTATTATCCAACTCAATACCTACTCTCTTTGCAGTTCTACCATCATCCCTTCTTCTATAAATTGGATACCCATCTTCATCAATTGTGGTTGATGACACAAATTTTTTTGGAAAGTGCTTTGTGCATCTACCATTTTTCATGCACGGAGAAGATTTTCTAGCAGTACTACAAGGACCATGCATCATGAAATTTGTAACAGCATTATAATAAGAAGGATCTACTTTTTTATCTGGTAATTCTGCTGAAATTATCCATCAATATCTCCGACATTTGGGATTTTATCATAAGAAAAAGCAAGATGTGTGCATGAGGCAAGCCTTGCTTTTGGAATTCAACTGTATAAATCACTGAAGAATGAAGATGTAATTAGATCATTAAGCTTATATGTTAGTTATTTTTAATATTAGCATATGATAACGTTAATGTGCAAACATAATAATTCTGTAGAACATTAAAATTATACCTGCTTTTACTTCTCCAAAAATTTGATTGTCGCGTAGATCCTTTATCATGCGATCCAGCTTGATTTTGAAAACCCTTGTTAAAATGTCGGGACGATCTTCTGGAGATAATCCCCTACTCTCCACAAATCTAGTAATCTCTGGCCATTTTGGGTTGCAAGTAAAAGTGATGACAGATCAGGGTACCCCGCCCATTTGCAAATTGCCATGGCATCTTGATAATTCTGCAACATGTAACGTGCACCTCCCGTAAAGCTGGAAGAGAGTATAACTCTTTGTCCTTGAGAAGAAGGTTCTATATCCCCATGTAAAACAGCATCTTGTAACCCTTTATAAAAATGTGCTCTCAATTGTTTTTAATGAAGCCTAATAAACCTTAATCGAGAAGATTCCATCATTGTATAACCATCTACCAAGAATTGCTGAAATAATCTTCTAGCTGACACAATTGTTGTATCTTCATCCTTCCTTTCTTGAATTTTATATGATAAGTACTCACGTGTGCTAACACATTTTCTTCCACCGGTTGAATCATCAATATCATTTAAAG